CAGACCCCAGTGACTTAGGGAAGAATGGTCAGTTTCGTAAAATTCAACATGGCATTAAAAATGCATGGTGGACGGAGAAGGCGAAGCAGATGGAATGCTATGCCGAACGCCGCCAACACAATGCATTATTTGGCTCCTTGAAAGCGGTGTATGGACCGAGTTTGGAGCCGATGATGACGCTGATCGATGGTAGTTCAGGCGCTACCTGCACACAGACTGCAGACATAATGCAGATCTGGCGGAAACACTTTGACTGTCTCTTGAACAACCGTTCAGAGATCGACTGGCCTACATTTAACTGCCTCAAGCAGCACGATGTGAAGGCGAGTCTGGCGGACACGCCGACACTGGATGAGACGCAGAGAGCACTTGCTCAGCTGCGAAACGGCAAATATTCCGGGGCCGACGGGATCCCGCCTGAAGTATTGAAACACGGTGGACCCGCGTTGGTGACTGCGCTGCACCACTTGGTGCAACGTGTATGTACTGATTAGGAGGTGCCTCCTGAGCTGAAGGATGCCCTTGTGCTACCACTGTACAAGGGTAAAGGGAGCAAGCAATGTTGCACGAATTATCGTGGCATCAACTTGCTGAGTTGTGTGGGTAAGGTGATTGCCCGAATCCTGCTCAACTGCCTCGTCAGTCAGGGTGTGGAACCTAACGTGGCGGAAGAGCAGTGTGGATTCCGTTCGGGTCGCAGGTAGCAGGTTCGGGTAGCAGAACCATTGATATGCTGTTTGCGGCTCGTCAGTTGCAAGAGAAGTGCAGAGAACAACACCAGCCATTGTACACACTTTTTGTCGATTTCACCAAAGCGTTTGATACGGTGAACCGCGTGGCATTGTGGCTGGTGTTGGATAAGTTTGGCTGTCCGCGTAAGTTTGTAAGTTTAATTGAAGTTTTGCACAGTGGTATGCGAGCGAGGGTGCAGCTGAGTGGAGAGACCTCGGATGACTTTGCAGTTGTTACTGGTGTGAGACCAGACTGTGTCTTAGCTCCTGCCCTGTTTGATATATATCTTCATGCAATGTTGTCCTGTGCTTTTTATGCGGCTTGTGTTTGCGGTGTTCATGTGGAGCACAGTATTGGTGGTGGGTTGCTGAACATCCGTCGTTTCGGTGCGAGAACTCTAGTCTGTGAGACAACTATCCGTACGTTGCTGTTCGCTGACGACTGTGCGTTGTTTTCACACAGCGCGGGTGAGTTGCAGCACATGACTGGTGCTCTGGCTTCGACAGCGGCCGAATTCGGGCTCACCATCAACACAAGCAAAACTGTCTGTCTCTTTCAGCCTTCACCGCAGGTGCAGTCTTCAATATTGCCGCGAATCAGCATTGATGCTGAAGTATTGGAAACCACCTTCAGCTTCTGCTACCTTGGAAGTGAGATGTCAACTGATCAGCAGATACACAGTGTGCTGCGTATCCGCGTGTCGAAGGCAGCGGCGGCATTCCGAAAGCTTGAGTACCGAGTGTGGAACAACCATCATCTTAGCATTGGCACAAAGCTGATGGTGTACAAATCTATGGTACTGTCCGTTCTTCTATAAGGCAGTGAAACGTGGACGATGTACCGTCGGAATTTGAGATATCTCGAGCGGTTCTAACAGCAGTTTTTGCGCGGATTTTGCGCATCGGTTGGTTCGACGGAGTTGCAGGCACGGAAATTTTGCGCCGTAGTGGAAGGTATGCAGTGGACTGCATACTTTTGCTGAGACACCTGAGGTGGATCGGTCATGTGAGCCATACGGATTCAACGCGGATACCGATGCAACTCTTATTTAGTCAGTTGAGTATAGGGAATCGGCATGTCGGGAAACCAGAGTTACTTTACCAGGACATGATTAAAGTGAGCCTCTCACGTTCTAATCTTGATTGCAGGTCATGGGAATCGAAGGTGGTTGATCGGCGTGCATGGCGCGATCTGATCACGAAGGCAGTTGCCGAGGTGCAGGAGAAAGCCCTCATGCATGCAAAGAAGAAGCGGCAAGCACCGATGGGTTGTTCTCCGTCGACATCAAGCGCATGGTGCTGTAGCACATGCGGTCACGAGTGCCTGAGTCAGGCAGGCTTAGTGAGGCAGGAGCGAGGCCACTCAGGACCACTACCGAAGCGACGACGGGTTCTTCAGCGAACTAGGCAGAATCGGCGCAGCGTTTGTAGATACGCTGCATTCGATTTACTAACCGCGTGCTTGTATGCTAAGTCTATTTCAGGTGGTGAGTTTTCAGTTTTGTCCTAATGCTTTTCTTTCTCAAATAAATGTCCACCTTGGGTACACTATATAACTACAATTGTAGAATTTTTATACACCGTTAGAAATCTCCATGTCACTTCACAGTCTCCTTTTAAAAGGGAACCATAAGTGATCCTTCGATCTAATTGAGGACTGTCCGGCGTTGGTCAGCCTTCCGCTTGACCAGGTGGCGAAAATAGATACAGCTGCTGGAGGAGCATCAATGCTATTAGACCCCAGCGCGCTCCTACTATGTCCTCCTTAACGGTGTCAAATCACAAAACAGCGAAAAACTTCATGAGCGTCAAGCGTTCACTTCCAGTTCATCACTCCCGACTCGCAAACAGAAATCTACTTGATGACAGTGGTAGCGAAGACAACAACGATGACAGTCCAGTCTCGATGCGACGGACAGAGCCTTCATACGTTACCAAGACCGTAAACAGGCGACGACGTGCAAATCACGACAGAGCCTCAAAAACTTTGTTTATGGACTGTAAGACTCTGGCCTTTAGAACGTCTAAGTGGTTGTTCACATAAGGAACCGCACCACTCCCGTAATTGCCAACGGGGCGATCAACGCGGTACAGTGCGTAGCCAAACATATTCTTCGTTGGCCGTAATTTTTTCACACAACCGTTTTTCAGTAGATGTAAGCATATCTGGACGATATTTGTCTGCGAGCAGACCCATCTCGTACATGTTGTACTTCAGGCTACGCACGATGTTAAGCACTGTCATGGAATTGAATGAGTAATAAGAAAATTGTCCAGCTGTAGGAGGACATTGTCTTGCTTGGTCTCGTATGTCACCGTACTATTTTTGTGGAAGCTTCGTGTGATCAACGCCGAGGTCCACCGGTTGGTTGTTGGAAGGAGTTTTCCGTGCCACCTTTGAGTTTCTTAAACCAACTATGTTGTTTGGACGTCTTTCTTCTTTCGATTTTATCACTCGGTGTGTGTTATTTACCAACAATACGAGGTGTGACTGCTGTGTTACCTGGCAGAGCTGCGAACCAACCGTCCAATAGGTGGTGGTACATACTGTTTGCGAGTATGTGGTCTTCGTGGTTGGCTACGTCATCGACGCACAGGCATTTTGCGTCAACGTTTTGCTGTTAATTTTTCAACCTGGCTAGCTAAGCTCAATTTTTCCTTGTTTTTTACTTTTCGTTTCCTATCATTTCTTCCACCACTTTAATCTATCAAACGACGCGCATTTTGACATCTGGACACTGCGTCTTGCCCGTCGGACCATGGTTGTATAGCTGCACCGAACAGAAGTGTGGGCCATAGATTTACCCATTTCCTCAACTGATATCCTACGAGGTGAGGTCGCCGAGTGCCTAGTACTGGTGTGCGCTTGTCATTATCTATCAGCAGATCCCATGATGTCTCCTGTTCTATCACTAAATTTGCTAAAATTTGTTTCTTTCCCGCCTAGTAAGCACTTTCTACCTTGGTGGTCTGATTGTTCGCTGAGCTCGGCAGGTTGACTGCAAACGTTTCGTCACCACTCGAGGTGACATCGTCAGTGCGCGTGTATTTAGTAGAGTGGCGCGTACGTGGCTTCGTACGCGCCACTCTACTAAATACACGCGCACTGACGATGTCACCTCGAGTGGTGACGAAACGTTTGCAGTCAACCTGCCGAGCTCAGCGAACAATCAGACAACCAACTGAACAACCTGAGCTAGCAACATTTGCTTCTGTATCGCACTTTCTACCTTGATACTGCCCAGTTGAGCAGATCCCCGAATAGGCTGATTGATAGGCTAACAAGGGCATATAGCTCGTCTGATCGAATGCTATGTAAAACCGGCGCGTGCTGCCTTATTTGTATCTTGGCAGGCAATGCCATTGCTTTGACGACATTTTGAATTTGTGCCGTTGATTTGATGAGATGCTTCGGCTCTTCTACCTTGACATTTTATTGACTTTGTGCAGCATATTGAGAAGACGAACACTGGTGGATGCATTTCATATTGTCTTACCAGTGACAATACACTAACAAGGCAGGGCTATTTTTGTGACCCCTCATCGGAACAACCCCAGTTCGGCGCTTCGGATTTTATTACCTCACCCTGATTCGCTTTTCTTATGGCTCTCGGAAGCCGTGGCGATAAATCAGCTATCTGCCATGTGCGTGCAAAAACAAACAATTGCCAAAATTCGATTGCGTGGTCCCAGGGTCATCGCCGCCGGTCAACTCACTACATGTGATTGGCTTGGTAACACCCTTTGCACGTTATATAAGCCATTTCCTGTTATTATATTAGTATTGATGGTACGATACGAAATGCGCTCATTTCTCAGTGTTCTTCTAAGTCTTTTATTCAAATTAATTAGGGAAACTGTCTGTATTAGCTTTGCTTCTTTTTGTACCTAAATTTTTCATTCCTGGATTTTAGCTGGTTCATGCATCTTCGATAAATGTTATCAGGGTTTGAGTAAAGGTAACATTCTACCTTTGTACTTAGTTTGCAGCTGCTTCGCTAAGCTGAATTGACTTTTCCATGAACTTGATTTGTAAGGAACACGAACTACGGTAATTGCATCATTCAGCTGTCGTTGACGCTTGCTGCACTTCTTAAGGATGTCCACTTTGCTAACGTAATATGTGGTTTTCTTGCGGTTCCACAAAGATACTTCACCCATTTTCTCGAAATAGTGTTTCAGTGTTTCGAGTGTTTCACCAACCGTTTCATCCTTCCTAAGAATGTGTACCTCAGCGGTTATCCACATATCTTTTCCTATCATATACAGCCTTGCCTCTTGCTCTAACATGCGGGAGTTCCACACCAAGAACTGAGTATTTATTTCCCATGGAGTGTTCTGCATCTGAGTATAGTCTTGTTCTCCCATATGGTTCCCACTCTTCCGACGAATGTGGCTACTGCAAAGGAACCAATGAGGGCTTGCATACGACTTGGGGTGAGTCTTGGGTGCATCGTCTAATATATCTCAGGCATGGGTACAGAACGCCTCACTGTATCTGATTATCAATACCTGATAGATCGTGGGTGGCGTCGGTAAGTTTTGTTTCATTTCACTTACCGAACGCTCTTTCAGATCCGGTACTTATTGCTACAAGCCACTCAATGAGGTTACCTGTTGCCCTTGTTATACTATTCGATGCGATGCACTCGCTTTTCGGCCGTCACGTTCCCACAAACGCGTAATTCGAAACGTCGCAACTTTCCTTAAGACAGGAAGATACAATTTTGTTAAGACATCGACAAGGTATCCCGGTCCATCTAATTCTCCCTATCAACGAGGATCATCGTTACTTTTAACTGCAGGCGGAGATATCCCATCCATTCCGCCTAAAAATGCCCGGTGTTTACTTCCAGGTGATTGTTGTGTTGCCCATGAGTCGATTTTTCTTACCGTTTTATGTGTTAAAGCCAATGGAAGTCGTGGCACTCAGCTTCACAGGCTCACTTTTAAGACGAGATTAGCTCCTCATACACAAGGGACCTTTAATCAATAACGAATATCTATTCATCATAATGCTCGATGAAGGCACAGATCTAATATGTAGTACGCTATGGAAATGCCTACTCACTTTGTGACATTCGGTATTTCACTGGGCGTATTTTTGAGTCCAGTTCCTTCGCCAGCCGTTAACTATTCCGTGTGAGTCATCGAAATGTATATTTGGGCCGGCCTGTTGCACTCTAAACGAACAAATGTATACCAAGTGGTCCCACGTTTGTTCATCACATAATTTTCATATTATACCTCCGTCTTTGCTGTTTGGGAGCTGTCTTACTGAAGCTGTTTGTACTTAGCCATCTTTTCATTCTTGAACCGTTCAGCACGCTTCTCAATCTGTTGGAAGCTGATTGATGACTCAGATTGTGGGACTTTACTAAGTCTCCAGCTTTTGTATAGTTGCCTTGATTAGGTGAAATGGAGAATACGCTACAGTGCACTATATTTGTTTATTGAACTGTCTAAGTCATAGACATCCCTAGCCCCTCCACTATTTTCAGCTCATTTATCACAATTTTTAGGTTTCCGTTTAAATTTTTCTGAGTCCAGGCAGTGCACATCCTCGACTTATTTATCAGTGGCCAAATGGTTCCCTGCTTTCATTCATATATTCTCGTGTGGTCTGCTTCGTTTCAGGCACACGGTTCGTTGTCGAACGATTGTCGTGGTAGTTGAATATTTTTGACCCCATGTTTTTGGCAAGCAAACTGTGTCCATGAACTACAACGATTTGTAGGTATTGAAAGCTCGTTATCTTTCTAGCAGACAGTAACCGTAATTCGGTGGCAAAATGTTCCGTTTCCTTTTATCCTTTTACTATTTTATGTCATTGTCCGTAAATTCACAGAGGATTCTCGCAACATATTAGCCCAACAAATCTCTGCAGCGGGTGACAGACCCATCGAGCCTTCTGTCGCCTCAAACGCGTGCTCCTCGCCGGTTCAACTTCTTTCGGGACCACATCGCGGTGGTTCCGTTGTGGTATTGCCGTCAAGACAAGCGAAGTCGTCCAAATCGCGTATACGCCGTTGGAATGCCAAGCTTCTGCGAATGAAAGAGAAAGCCGAGAGGGAAAAGCGCAGTGTGGAAGAAATCTTCGAAGTATGTTGTAACGTTTTTACTTGTTCTAAACCACTGCTCCGTCAAACTCGAGTGATACGTTAACATTTCAATTGTTCCCATCAGTCGCAACAATCAGAACACATACACGATTATACATGTGGAACAAAAGGCAACACCGATAAAAATGTCATAACCAAATCCATGGCAACCTAATTTGTTACCTCAACTATCTGTGCCATTAACGCAGCTTGCTAGGTGCCAACTAGCAACGGGTCACTGATTAACAACATTACAACTTTTGTTGCCTACTAACGCCTTGAACGCAATCTCCGGGTTCACATGATGGCTATTTGTCACCAAGCTAATGACACGTTCCTGTTCATCCTGTTATCCGCTCCGCATCATTGCTTGGCACATCTTCAGCCACCTGAGTCAATTGATGATCAGCTCTATCTATGCACCCCGTCTCCTCCAGCAACGACCAGCTGTCTCCTGGAGACTGTGCGGACGAGGTAGTGGGTAATAGACAGGTAGGCACCTTGTCAACATGCACATCAAGCGCAACCACACCGGGGATGTCAAGCAACAGCCAATCACTTAACAGGACGATATCAAATAAAATAAACCGGATAATGCATATAGATACGATGACATAACTCTTCACTAAATGAGCGTAACGTCACGCGGGGTGACTATTCGCCAGCATGTTAAAAATGTTTTCCAATATTTTCCCCTGGTTATTTGTTATAGATAACGTTTTTTCTGTCGTCTGGACTAACTTCTGTACTTTGTGCCTGCAAGTGAACATAACATTAAAATCGCAGAAAACATTTGGTGTAGAAAGTAGACTCACATGTAGGCATTTGTCATGTGGAACTACCTGTTGTAAATCTATGAGTATGGTACAATAAGTAGCAACAGATATTTAAAAATGCAGAAAACATTAAATTTTAATTACAAAAGTTATTTATATATTGTGTTATTACCTTAACTAGTTTTTAGCTTAGTAGGAGAACGGCCATAGTCACCCCGGTAATCATAGAACTAATCAGTGTCAGTGTGTGATCCACCTTTACCAAGTTATGTTTTCTAAAAGTCTGAACATCTACGGATCACTTGGATTGAAGGAGGCCCACTCAAAGCCAGGTTCAATCGATCCAACTTTGGCTGGATTAACCATGTCTGCTTCGTCGACTGGTTCAGATCAATGACTGCCCTACTGTAAGAGTCTGGAGAGGAGGAAGGTTTTAATACTTTGTCATCACTATTTAGCAATGAAATATTGGTTCAGTGTGACAGAAATAACATTTCGTTTGTGTGTCTGCCTCCAAATGCAACATGTCTTCTACAGCCATTGGATGTTGCTTATTTTGGACCAGTGAAAGCTAAGTGGAGGTGCATTCTGGCAGAGTACAAACTGGCAAAGAAAAAGAGTGCGGGAGCGATATCAAAATATGTGTTCCCAAGGCTGCTGAAAAAACTCATGGTTAAACTGTCAAACCAAGAAGAGAATCTTAAAGCAGACTTTAAAAAGTGTGGCGTTTATCCTTTTGATAAAACACCTGTACTCAACCGTTTGCCACAAGAATCACTCAATGAGAACCTCAACAATTCTGTGTCTGAAGCGTTTACAGAACATCTGAAACGTCTTCGCAATGGTGACAATGACGGGCCAGCCAGGAAGATGAGAAGGAAGAAGCTTGATGTAGTTCCTGGGAGGAGCATTGTTGTCCCTCAAGATCAAGAATCTGTAGCAGAGGCAGTTGCAGGAAGGGCAGAGCCAGAAACTGCGGAGGTGGAAAATGTGTCAGATGTTCCATCGGATGAAGAGCTGAACCTGTCCAGTGAAGACGAGTGGACACCCGCTGAAGAAGCCAGGAACAGGAACATATTTGATCATTTTCGCTGAAATAAATCATGCTATCCTTTCGGTACCACTAAATGTATTGTGGCGAGTTTAATAAAGTTATCAATTTTTATTTCCTCTTGCTTGTTTTCATACCAATATTAGTGGTACGCACCGGTACTATATTTAACACTTCAAAATTAATAGGGATAAATGTTGGATTGTGTGTGTAATATAAAGCTACAGTGCCAGGTATTGCATTTTAGTGGTCATTAACACCCCAGTGTAGGCATCACTTTAGTTAAAATAGAGCTGATGTTGTGCGGCCAAAGTCACCCGATACCAGGGTGACTTTGGCTACCACTAATTATGCCCCTATTTTCTTTAAAAAATGTTTCTGTGTGACCAAATGCCATCCTGATTTGCATTTTACCATGCTCCCCCTAAAACACAGGAAAAATAATTGGATCTAAAATTTAAGAGGTTTTTTCTAACAATGTTTCCCAAAAGTGGACCATAGTCATCCTATATTACAGTATATAAAAAGATTGATTATGAACGTATCCGCGATAAGTTTAAGACGTCAGAAAATATATTTTAAGAAAATGCCACCAACGCGCAAATGTTATCTAAGTTAACTACAGTTACCTTAAGCGACGTGTAAAACTTTTTAGAAGAGTGTTCAGCTAGAAATTATTATGAGAAAGAGAAGCATTAGGACAAAATTGCAAACCCATCACCTGAAATAGAGTTAGCATGCAAACACGCGGTTAGTAAATCGATTGCAGCGTATCTACAAACACTGCGAAGTTTCTGCCCACCTCTGTAAAACCTGCCGTCGCTTCGGTGGTGCTTCCGAGTGGAATCGCTCATGGATCACTAGGCCTGCCTGACTCAGGCACTCGCGACCGCATGTGCTACAGCACCATGCGCTCGATGCCGATGGAATGCAACCTATCGGCGCTTGTCGCTTCTTATCTGCATGCATGAGGGCTTTCTCCTGCACCTCGGCAACTGCCTTCGTGATCAGATCGCGCCATGCACGCCGATCAACCGCCTTCGATTCCCACGGCGTGCAATCACGATTGGAACGTGAGAGGCTCACTTTGCTCATGTCCTGGTAACGTAACTTTGGTTTCCCCACATGCCGCTTTCCAGTACTAAGTTGACCATGTAACAGCTGCTTTAATATCCGCGTCGAATCCATAGGGCTTTCAGGACCGAGCCACCTCATGTGTCTCAGCAAAGTATGCAGTCCACTGCATACATCCCACTTTGTCGCAACACTTTGTGTCAGCAACTCTGTCGCCCCAACCGATGCGCAAAATCCGTAGCAAACACACTCGAGATATCGCACATTACGACCGTGCATCGTCTACGTTTCACTGCCGTATAGAAGAACGGACAGTACCATGGATTTGTACACCATCAGCTTTGTGCCAATGCTAAGCTGATGGTTGTTCCACACTCCGTACTCAAGCTTCCTGAATGCCGCCGCTGCTTTCGAGACGCGGATACGAAGCTCACTGTGTATCTGCTGATCAGTCGACATCACACTCCCAAGGTAGCAGAAGCGGGAGGTGCTTTCTAATAATTCAGCACCAATGCTGATTAAAAAATAAATAAAATAAAAAAATAAATTTGTATATTTACCGACGGACGGTACACGGCCCCATAAGTGGGAGCGATCATTTGTATAGTGCACACGTTTCATAACATTAAATAAAAGTTTACTGATAGCATTTCGGATCATGATTACTTTTCCTTGAGTCATAGACTCTCTCTTATGTAAAATTTACGGATGTTTGTATCGTTAGGAGTAGATAATAAACGAAGGGACTATTTAGCTGCAAAGACACAGGATTTGGTATGGTATGTAATGACATGTAGTTGGTAAGCTAGCTGTAAGCTATTATTATTATTGAAGATTGCACCTCCAGTGAAGGCTGAAAGAGACAGACAGTTTTGTTTGTGTTGATGGTGAAACCGAATTTGACCGCTGTGGAAGCCAGAGAGCTAGTCATGTGCTACAACTCATCCGCGCTGTGCGCAAACAACGCAGTCGTCAGCAAACAGCAACATACGGATAGTTGTCTCACAGACTAGAGTTCTCGCACCGAAACGACGGATGTTCAGCAACCCACCATCAATACTGTGCTCCACATGAACACCATAAACAGAAGCGGCATCAACAACACAAGACATCATTGCATGAAGATAAATATTAAACAGGGAAGGATCTAAGATACAACATTGCTTCACACCAGCGATAAATGCTAAGCCATCCGAGGTCTCTCCACTCGGCTGCACGCTCGCCCGCATACCACTGTACAGATATTCCATTTAACTTACAAAGTTACGCGGGCAACCAGACTTAGCCAACACCAGCCACAATGCCACGCGGTTCACAGTATCAAATGCTTTGATGGTATCAACAAAAAGCGAGTACAGCGGTTGATGTCGTTCTCTGCACTTCTCCTGCAACTGACGAACCGCAAACAGCATATCGATGGTTCTGCTACCCGAAGGGAGTCCACTTTTTTTATTCCGCCACGTTCGGTTCCACAACGTGACTGACGAGGCGGTTGAGCAGGATTCGGGCAATCACCTTGCCCACACAACTCAGCAAGTTGATGCCACAATAATTCGTGCAACATTGCTTGCTCCCTTTACCCTTGTACAGTGGTAGCACAAGGGCATCCTTCAGCTCAGGCGACACCTGCTCCTCAATCCATACACGTTGCACCAAGTGGTGCAGCGCAGTCACCAACGCGGGTCCGCCGTGTTTCAATACTTCAGGCGGGATCCCGTCGGCCCTGGAATATTTGCCGTTTCGCAGCTGAGCAAGTGCTCTCTGCGTCTCATCCAGTGTCAGCATGTCCGCCAGACTCGCCTTCACATCGTGCTGCTTGAGGCAGTTAAATGTAGGCCAGTCGATCTCTGAACGGTTGTTCAAGAGACAGTCAAAGTGTTTCCGCCAGATCTGCATTATGTCTGCAGTCTGTGTGCAGGTAGCGCCTGAACTACCATCGATCAGCGTCATCATCGGCTCCAAACTCGGTCCATACACCGCTTTCAAGGAGCCAAATAATGCATTGTGTTGGCGGCGTTCGGCATAGCATTCCATCTGCTTCGCCTTCTCCGTCCACCATGCATTTTTAATGCCATGTTGAATTTTACGAAACTGACCATT